CTAATACTCTACTGCTATAGAAACTGCTGGCATGAATCTAGAAAGCAGGACTTTAGTGGGGGCGGATTTTGCCACACTACTAAAGTTTTGCGATGGGAGCTAGACCAAGATCTTCCTATAATCCATCTTAATCAGACAAATCTTCTGTGCAGAATATTTCACAGCCATCTGTGCTGGATTCTTTAGAAAGTCATGAAAGAATGAAAACAGTGAAAAGGCGGGAGAAATGTTCCAGATTAAAGAGACTAATGCTTTATTAGATTTAAGAACTTAACTACCTCCCCAACCCTTCTCCAAGCTATCAAAACACATTTTGGGGACAACTGAGAAACCTAAATATAAAATGTAATATTAAATACCTTGGAAGTGATGATATTGTGATTATACAGAAGTATTTTAGGGGTAAAATGTCACTGTATTTGCACCTTACTTTCAAATGGTGAATGAGCGTACAAGAGAAAGTAAATGTGGCAAAAAGTTAATGATGGATGCATGCGTGCTCAGTTGTGTCCAACTCTATGTGATCCCATGGACAGAGGTGATAAAATCATTTAAAAAATGAACAGTGAATGAGCCAGTCCTATACAGCTTCCCATCTCTTTTACAAGAACACTTTCATCTTTTATAAGAAAAAATTCTATCCTCTTGGTATGGACCATTTAAGATAAACTACATACAGAGACAGAGAGTTCTCAATTGTCTGCTGGTAAAACTACAACAAATTAAAAATCCCTTGGTGTCCCTCCTAAATATGCACTTGGAAAGAAAATATAAATTTAATATTAGCTTGAACAAAACAATTAGGATAATTATATATCTTTTTTTTTCCTACTGGGAATGTTCTTCCATCTTTACTAACTGGATGAAAATTCATGAGTCTGAGGAAGCCTCTGCTGATTAACCTCAACATTCTTGTATTTACTACTATGCATTTGTTATACTGATTCTTTGTAAATGTGCTCAAGGAAGCTGTGTACATTCTGTCTCAGTGATGATACTGTGGACAGGGTTACTGATTGGACACCTTTGAGAATCTGCAGGAGTGAAGTATTCCCAAAATATAATGTCTTACCTATACTTACGAACTTGTTAATAAAATAAATAACCTGATGATGACGTGGTAGGGGAAAACCCCCCCAGCAGTACATATATAATACAGCAATATTATATTCTATAATACAGCAATACAGAGTAACGGTTCTCAAAGTGTGGTCTAGGGACCCTTGGGGTTCCCAAGATCCTTTCAAGAGTTTGTGACGCTACATCATTTTCATAAAGTAAGATGTCATTTGCCATTTTCATGCTTATTCTCTTACAAGACACAGCACAATGTGTGTGGCAACATGACATGTAATGACAGCTAATGGAATTATGCATTGTGCATCCTTGTGTATTTTAGAATTTTCAAAGGAAAGCAATTTGGGTCCTCAATAACTTTTAAGAGTGTAAAGGTGTCCTGAGACAAAATTGAGAACTACTGATATAGAGAAAGAGATATAAGGAAGACATCTTGCCTACTTAAAAAAAAAAAAAGTTAATACTTTCCCATTTTCCTTCATATTTTCTACCAGTCAACCCTCTCTACAACTGAGTTTTTCAAACACATTTCAAGAAAAGATGTGAAAGGAACTAGAAATGAGTAATAGGTTTAACTAGCTAGAGTGCACCAGAGAAATATCCTGGGACAAAAACATAGATTTATGTTATTTTGTTGTCAAATGGAAAATTTCATTCCAGATAATAAGCATGACACTTGAATTGAACTTTTAATCAAATCTGTCCTGAACCACTAATAGGATTCCATTACATTTACAGGAGCTCCACGAGAACCACAGAGGAAAAATCTATAGGATCTCTTTATAAAAAAAGTGGCAGTCCACTGGGCTGCCAGGGAATTCCCTAAGACAAGTTTTAAAAAGCCTTCCATACTTTTTTTTTCCAGCGAGAACTCTGTACCCACAAGTCAACGTTATTTGTTCCAATTGGGCTGTGATGTGCTCTGCAAATAGGTGCAGGACCTTCCTTAACCTTTGCCACTTGTTTCAGAAACTCTCATACCTGTGAAGGGGGCCTTATGTGACAGACTAATGCTGCATCAGCGCAAATTTATGTGATTTACTGGAAAACAACTCAAAGTACACGTTTTGTCATTTCAAAAGGTGTCTTCATCCAGACAACTTTAAATATATTAGAGAAGTTAAATATTTAAAGAACTATTTTTATGTAACCAGGATTTCCAACTTCTGGGTACATTTTGGGAGCAATAGTCAATGGCAGAAAAAACAAAACAAAATAAGGGATTCAGTTCAATAAGGGATCTGGACATTCCTTGGGAAATAACCAGACTGGAGAGTCAAATTTCAATTATCTGTGGCAAGAGGAAGCAAAGATAATTGGAAAATGTTATTCTAGCAACTTGGGACAAACCATATAAAGAAAATACAGAGCAGTAAGTACATGGACCTGTCCTCTAATTTAGGTGTTAACAATAGTTATGACTGAGGTCCTAATGTGTGTGCTCAGTCATGTCCGGCTCTTTGCCACCCTTTAGACTGTAGCCCGCCAGGCTCTTTTGTCCATGGGGTTTTTTGGGCAAGAACACTGGAGTGGTTGCTATTTCCTCCTCCAGGAGATCATCCATGCCCCAGGGACTGAGCCTGAGTCTCTCGTGTCTCCTGCACTGCAGGTGGATTCTGGACCACTGAGCCGTCTGGGAAGCCCAAGGCTCTAACAGGGCAAGTAAGCTGAAGGAAGAAAAAAGGAAGCACCTGACAAATACATAAACTAGCTCAGTAACTACTGAATGGTTGACATTTAGCTTTATGGAAACGAATTCTGTTCTTAATATCTCTCTTTTCTAAGTATACCCAACCTTAACTCTACTCAAAAAAAATACTTGACAATAAAAATAACTATGCAATTTATATGCCAGATAGCAGCATACACACTGGTATTGATTTTCTCGCAAACAGTCTGTTAAGTATAAACGGTCACTTAAATTAGAAAAGACATGTAAAGCACATACTAGGCACTATCACTAGACTGCCAATTTCATTAATGACCATAATTAAATTAATGCTGACACCTAGTGGCAAGAATCTTTCATGTTACTTGAATTGCACCTTATGACATATGAACCAAAGAATTTAAAACCAAAGACACTTCCAAATCACCACAAAAGATTACCCACTTAATCTAAGAATTATCCATTAACCTTAAGTAAAGAAAGGAATAAGAAATAGTTCCCCATTACTAAAACAGAGCAAAAACCATCTTTAAGAAGTAAAACTGGGAGCTGAATCTTTTTAGGGGAGTGGTAAGGGACTCCTTATGAAAAAATACCTGAAACTACAAATTTGTATCTTTAAAATACTAGAATAGACAACTGTTCAAAAATAAGAATGCAGCTGAGTATTTCACTTGAAAGAGAAGTCATTTACTAATAAACTGTGGGATGTCTTTTTAACTCTGTCCCCTAGGATAGGCTGGTTTTCTCCCCTTTAAGAATGTTTTTAATTTTTAAAGAAGTAAAATGAACAACAAATGAACACCCCCCCNTTATAAAACAGAACGGTGAACATTCCAAGCTTTACAAAGGCATTGTCTGGCTGAAAGGCTCAATCCAAATGTCATGTCCAATTTCCAGGCAATAGGAATGTATACCATGAATTCTGATCAAATATCATTCTTTAGAAAAAATGGAAGGAATAGTTAGGATTCTACAAGAAATTCTAGGATAACATGTTTTGGAAATTAAGGGACAATCATTTTGAAATATTACTTTTCAAATGAATTTTCTATCCTTCAGACTGGCATGGTTGATGTGCTCTGTTGACAAGAAACTGTTCACCAGTTTGAATATTTAATAGCCTCCTTTAAAAAATATGCTTGCATCTCAAAAATACGATTATAACCAATTTTAAATTGAAGGTGTAAATCTAATATAGAGTATATTGATTATTAAGAAAACGCTATACACAGCACATTCAGATGTCTTTGTCCTCTTAAAAACAATCCCGACCACATATTTAGCTGCTACACAGAAACGGTTTGTAATCATTTCAAAATGTCCACCTCCTTCAGTTTTCTTACCACTTAAAGATAAATTCACTGAGGAAGCAAAATAACTGACTGAACTAAGATATTCATTGAACCTTCAGTGAAGCCTCTGGGATGAAGAAAATCCCAAAGGCAAATTTATTTATTTTCATTAATCATGGACAGAATTACTGTGATTTTAAGGTATAAAACCTCTCCTAAAGCTGGCGGGTGGGATTAATCACTAGTTAGAAATTGAAATGCAGGAGAGGAAAAAAACCTTCTCAAGGGGCAAGGTGCTTCACGACGGGGTGGGAAGTGTCAGGGGTGAGGCAAAGCCCGATAGTCACTTCTCAGGATTGCCTTCACTGGTCAACCAAGGCGCTGGGGTTGACGTTACCAAAACGAGTTTGAATTCCTCCAAACCTCTACTGGCTTTTGGGAGGACTGACCGATCCGACTTTATCTTTTCCAACAAGGAAACTTGGGTGGTAGGGGGAACAATACGTTCTTCTCACAGACAAACCAAACCTAGCCGGGATGATCTCGCCTACTTCGGAGTGCTGGCCCCCAACTCCAGCCTGGGGGTGGAAAGTGATACATAAAAGGCAGGTGATGAGACCTCCTCCGGCGTCCACACTCAGGCCGGATAGAGGCTGGAAGCCCAGCTCTTGCTGCCCCCACCCGTGGCCCCGCTTCCGGGTCGGGGGCCAGAGCCCCCGAGCCCCCCAAAGCCAAGTTCCCGCAGGCAGTCGCCCCCACTCCCCAAGCAAGGGCGGAATCTGGACAAGCCCCGCGGGCCAGCCCCAAGAGAGACTCTGGGGCGGGAGGGCTGCGGTTGGTGCTTAAGCGGCGGCTGCAGCTCGCCAGGGGCTCCCTCCCCGGGGAACGCTCTTCCCTTTCGGGCCCTCCCCAGACCTCGGCTCTTGGAAAGGGCGGCAAGGGTCCCCAGGGGGCCTCACCAGACGGAGCTGGCTAATTTCGTCGTAGGACATAAAGCTGAGGATGTTCTCGATGGCTACGATGGGCAGCGCCACCAGCGTGTTGTTTTGAGGCAGCTGGTCCGGAGCCAGCGCCGGGGCTGGGGGCGCCTGGGATCCCGGCTGCGGGGGCTGGGGCGGGGGTGGTGGGGGCAGTCGCTGGGTAGAGGCAATGGCCGAAGGAGAGCCGCCGTCGCCGTGACCGCCGCCTCCTTCCTCAGCCATCCGCTCCTCCGACGCTGCCGCCATCTTGGGGGTTTGATTCCTTCCCCCCACTGCAAGGGGAACAGGGACACTTCCGGTGCGTCACTTCCTTCTCTTGAGCTGCCGGGAGGGGCACCTGGAGGAGGGGGAGGAGCCTATGGGGTGACAGGCAGAGAGAGACTCTTTGATGCTAGTTCAAGTGGGAAGGAGTGATCAAGTAACCCCCTGGAAAGGTGGTCATTGTAAGCTCTTTCATCTAAGATTGGAAACGACTTGAGGGCAGGGGAACCCTGTCTGAAATTAACTTCACAGTGCAATTTTTCCTAAAGTGCTTCCCTGATAAGGGGAGATAAAAATAATGTTAACTAGTAAGTGTAGTAAGATCATGGCATCTGGTCCCATCACTTCATGGCAAATACATGGGGAGACAATGGAAACAGGGGGAGACAATGGAAACAGTGACAGACTTTATTTTCTTGGGCTCCAAAATCACTGAGGACAGTGACTGCAGCCATGAAATTAAAAGGCACTTGCTCCTTGGAAGAATAGCTGTGACAAAACTAGACAGTGTGTTGAAAAGCAGAGTCAGACTTTGCTGACAAAGGTCCGTCTAGTCAAAGCTATGGTTTTTGTGGTAGTCATGTAGGGATGTGAGAGTTGGACCATGAAGAAGAGCGCTGAAGAATTGATGCCTTCGAACTGTGGTGTTGGAGAAGACTCTTGAGAGTCCCTTGCACTGCGAAGAGATCAAACCAGTCAATTCTAAAGGAAATCAACCCCAAATATTTAGTGGAAGGACTGATGCTGAGGCTGAAGCTCCAATACTTTGACCACCTGATGTGAAGAGCCAACTCATTAGAAAAGACTCCGATGCTGGGAAAGATTGAAGGCAGGAGGAGAAGAAGGAGACAGAGGACAAGATGGTTGGATGGCATCATGGACTCACTGGACATGAGTTTGAGCAAACGCAGGGAGATAGTGAAGGACAGGGAAGCCTGGTGTGCTGCAGTCCCTGGGGTCACAAAGAGTCAGACATGACTGAGCGACTGAACAACAGCAATTGTAAGTGTAGATGAAACAATGTAGAATATCATCATTTTTCAAGAACCTTACTAATGATTGATTTAGGCAAAAAGGAATGAAGGATTAAAACTGCCATATGAATGAGCCTTAAAAATGTTTTCAATTAAAGAAGCAAGACCTAAAGGACCACATATTGTATGAATCCATTGATGTGAGATGCCTGAAATAGCCCAAACAATAAAGACAAAGTGGATTAATGGTTCTCAGAGGCTGGAAACAGCAGAGGAAAGGGGAATGACTGCTAAGGGGTGTAGGGTTTTTTCCTGGGGCAATGAAAATGTTCTGGAATTAGACAATGGTGATGGGTACACCTCTGAATCATACACTTTAAAATAGTGAATTTTGGGACTTCCTTGGTGGTCCAGTGGTTAAGAATCCGCCTTCCAATGCAGGAGACTCAGGTTCCATCCCTGGTCAGAGAACTACTATCCTACATCCTTGGGCAATTAAGCCTGTATTCTGCAATTATGGAGCTTGTGCACTCTGGAGCCGTGCGCCACAACTAAAGCCCAGGACCACAATGAGAGAGCTTGTGTTCTAACAACCCAGCCAAATAAAGGAAAAAATAAATATTTTTTAAAATAGTGAACGTTATAATATGTGAATTATATCTCCATAAAAAATTGATTTAGGCAAGAATCATCAAAAGATGCTAAATAAGAAAGTAAGGGTGTGATCTGGAAAATAATATTTACATAGATTCAAAATAACCCCCACAAATTAATTATCAATTACAAGATAAAAAGAAGTTTGCAATAGAGAGATTTGGTGGACACCGCCATAACCAAATGATCAAAATTAACTTCACGAGTTATGAGTGGAATTGACATCATGTAGCTCCTGTTATGATAGCTTGAAAAGGACATAGCATAATGTGGTATTTCTACCAAAAATGCATAACCTGTATTTGAGGTAGACAAACATAGTTAACTACCCCATAATCTTTTTATTTATTTATTTTTATTTTTGGCTGTGCTGGGTCTTGCTGCTCATGGGATTTCTCTAATTGTGGCAGGCCCGGACTACTCTTTAGTTGCGGTGGCTTTTATTGCAGAGCACAGACTCCAAAGCTCGAGGGCTTCAGCAGTTGCCCCATGACGGCATGTAGAATCTTCCCCGACCAAAGATCGAGACCTTGTCCTCTGCGTTGGCAGGTGGATTCTTAACCACCAGACTACCAGGTTAGTCCCCCCATAATCTTAAAAACGATTACTGTCATGAAAGACAAAGACTATGAATTTGTACCAGATGAAAAGAGACTAAAGCAACAAGACAACTAAATGCTTGGATGATCATGGACTGGACCATGGATTAGGAAGAACAGTAGTGAGAACACTACTGTGAGGATTGGCAAAATTTATAATTTTTAAATGGATTTAAATTTAAATTGTTATCATATTGTGTTTAAATTGTAATCATATTAAGTTTCATATTAGTATGAAACTAAGTGTAATCATATTAAGTTTCCTGATTTGGATAGTTTTATTGTGGTCTTGTAAGAGAATGTCCTTCTTCTTAGGAAATACACATTGAAATATTTAGGGGTAAATGGGTCACAATGCCTCTGTTTGCTCTTCAGTGGTTCAATATGTAGACAGAGAATTAGATGAATAAAGCAAAGATGATAAACATTAATGCTTGGTGAATCCAGATGAAGAGCATACGAGAATTTGTACTATCTTTTTTTTTTAACCTTTCAATTTCCTGGAGATACAGTTCACATACATCACTGTTTAAGTTTAATGTGTACAGTATAATGACTTGACTTACATACATCATGAAATGATAAATTTCACTATTATTATTTCACAATAAATTTAGTGAACATCCATCATCTCTTGTAGGTACAAAATGAAAGAAATAGAAAATTTTTTTTCTTGTGGTGAGAACTCCTAGGATTTACTCTCTTAACAACTTTCATATATAACCTATGTGCCTGTTCAGTTGCTTCAGTCGTGTCTGGCTCTTTGTGACCCTATGGACTGTAGCCTGCCAGGCTCCTCTGTCCAAGGTATTCTTTGTGAGTGAAAGTCGCTCAGTCGTGTCTGACTTTTTGTGACCCCATGGACTATACAGTCCACGAATTCTCCAGGCAAGAATACAGAATTTCCCTTCTCCAGGGGATCTTCCCCACCCAGGGATTGAACCCAGGTCTCCCACACTGCAGGTGGATTCTTTACCAGCTGAGCCACGAGGGAAGCCCAAGAATCCTGGAGTGGGCAGCCTATTCCTCCTCCAGGGGATCTTCCTGACCCAGGGATCGAACCCATGTCTCCTGCATTGGCAGGCAGATTCTGTACTACTGGGCCACCTTTGGAGCCCATCCTTGTAATAGCCCATGACAAAGATAAAGGTGCAAAAATCACTGAATTTTTAACCCTTCTCTTTTTTTTTGGGGGGGGTGGTCTTAACCTTAAAATTGCCAATATGTCTTTTCTTTTTCAGCTTTAGTTTGGAATCTAATTGTTGCATGGTAGAAACTGCAGAGAAAGCCAGGCATGACCAAGGACTGAGGAAAAGCAGGTAACAACTAAAGCAAGGAGATGAACTGGAAGTGCTGTGGGTAGCTTATTAGAGTTGGCATCTTTTCCTCACTCATGGGTCTGTAAACTGTTGGTCATTTTATCTATCATTGTTTCAGATCATAAAATTCTTTGAAGTTATTGAACCCAGGTCTCCCGCCTTGCAGGCAGATTCTTTACCAGCTGAAACACCAGGGAAGCTATATCTTCATAGAACCTGTTCCAATTTGATCTGAAATGAATTCACTTTTTTTTTTTTAAGTATGTGTGCTGCCAAAGTGAGAACATGAATTCACTTTTTACCTTGTTTTATTAGAGTTAGATACTTTCTTGGTAGATTGGATTGAAATTGAATTTCTGTAAATGGAATCATGCTTTTTATTATAAAAGAAACCCATAGAAAACCTTTTAAAAAGTGAATCATCACTGCCTTCGTCTATTCAGTGAATCCACTAGTTATGTGCAGTTTTGTTTGGCTTGAAATGGACATGTGGAAAGCCTTCCTGCCCCCTTATCTCTCCACATGTGGTCAACTAGTTAACATCTAGAGCAGGCTGACCCCTGAGCTAAACAGCAAAATAAAACTTTGGAAACAATTTAAACCACTTCCTGCCAGTAAGCCCACTTAAATTATCCTCTGTTTATGTATATTGGATCTGTGCCCCTATATTTCTTACACATCTTTTTTTTTTAAGTGAAAATTTCAAAATAAATGATTGCTTTGTTTCAATTATTGAAACCAATGCTTGTTTTGGAGACGTTTCCTGATCAAAACAAATACTTGTACCTAAAACAAATATTTGAACTTGTAGGAGTTCTGAGTTGTAAGTGTGGTTTTCACACCGTCAGCAGGATTTTTACACCATTGTAGGATGATGATCTCAAGTACAGGATGGACCTATGCATTTTTAGATCTCTGTGTTTCTAGTTTCATTATTTATACCTTCCTTCTTTATCTCACAAAGTAATCTGAGGCTGAGTGGAGACAGCAAATGGGTGAGCTTTTGAATTCCCTAAATTCAAGACATTCGAGTCAATTTAACATGAGACAGTTACTGTATAGACAGCATATTAAAAAGCAGAGACATAACTTTGTCAACAAAGGCCCACCTAGTCAAGGCTATGGTTTTCCCAGTAGTCATGTATGGATGTGAGAGTTGGACTGTAAAGAAAACTGAGAGCCAAAAAATTGATGCTTTTTAACTATGGTGTTGGAGAAGACTCTTGAGAGTCTCTTGAACTGCAGGGAGATCCAGCCAGTCTATCCTAAAGGAAATCAGTTCTGAATATTCATTGGAAGGACTGATGTTGAAGCTGAAACTCCAATACTTAGGCCACCTGATGCGAAGAGCTGACTCATTTGAAAAGACCCTGATGCTGGGAAAAATTGAGGGCAGGAGGAGAAGGGGACGACAGAGGATGAGATGGTTGGATGGCATCACCGACTCAATGGACATGTGTTTGGGTAGACTCC